ATAAAAATAAAATAATAATTGAAAAAAATGGGAAAAATGAAAAATAAAATGGCATAGATAGATACATCACTGAGATATTATCAGATGAGCCTGCATCGTTTATCATGTGCGCGAATATATATATATATATATATATATATATATATATATATATATATATATATATATATATCATACATCTTTCAATAGTGGCAGACCAGTTGTGTTTAAACTTTAAATTCAATAATATCAGTCCAACTTTGTGTGGTTAGCAATGATTTATTCACTGGGAACAATAATAATGACCATGTGCATTTCCACTCGATGAAACAAACTTTATTTGTGGAATTGGATATTTTTTTAATTTGAAATTCTTTTTAATAATTAATTCGTCCGTAAATAAATACTCATAATTGTTGAGCAGTTGTCAAAGTCATCAGATAAAACTGCACCCTCCGATAAATCCCATATGTATTTCAAAATTGAATTAAAAAAAAAAAAAATCAATGTCTACACTATTGTATTTATTTGATATCGATCAACTTGCACCATGTGGAAGTCACAAAATAACAGCTGTAGACTAATTAAAATTGCAGCATATGATGATCATATTATATATATTAATTACATTTATATGCAAAAGATTCAGACAGACAAACTCTGACTAGGAACAAAATATAAGTCTACATATATTCTTGGGCTAAATACAGTTTGCACCCTTAAACTATAGGGGTGGTAACACTTACCCCTTAAAGTTACAAATGTAACACTTACCCCCCTCATTAATGAATTTAATAATAAAACTTTGACTTTGAATGATGTTGTTTTTTTTCTTCCCAAATTGTCCTTCTAGCTATTATATTGATGCATATATAATAAAATATTTTTAATAATATTTCAAAAACTAAATTTTATAAAATATAATAATTATTAAAAAAATATTTTGATTTATGTTTAACTCTACATTTTAGTTACTATAGACCCTAATATAAATAAAAATCTCAATATAATAAAAAATATATTAAATACGTTAAACATTTGCAAGAAAAAAATATATTTTCAAGACTTAAATGGCCAATTTTTTTTATGATAATTATTGATTTGAAAATTTATTTTAGTTACTTAAATATAAATTTTAATAAAATAATATTTAAATATTTAGACGTTTAAATTATAATTTCTTATTAACTTTTGAATACATTTTGTGATTCTCAAAGTAAAAAGTGGGATGATTATATTAGAGTCATATACGCATTAAAATAACTATATAAACTATAAAATCATAATTAAAATTCGAATAATCGTTAACTTTTTATTAGCTACAAATGAACACAAGATAAAACAAAAATACACTAAAATTCAATTTTTTTCATTCATAAATTTACAATATTAAAATAATAAAATTAAGTTTTGGCAAAGTTGTCAATTTTTTTATTATTGCATATTCATTATTTATTTAATGGCTAGAAGGACAATTTGGGAAGAAAAAATGCGACATCATTCAAAGTCAAAGTTATACCTTTAAATTCATTAATGAGGGGGGTAAGTGTTACATTTGTAACTTTAAGGGGGTAAGTGTTACCACCCCTATAGTTTAAGGGTGCAAACTGTATTTAGCCCTATATTCTTCAAGTGAAGGTAAAATTGACAATATAAATAATTTTTAGATAGAACAAGCAATTTTATTTTAATATCAAATATAAATATATATTAGACTCCCTGATTTGCTCACATGGTTTGGTTACAAATATCAAATATGTATTAATATTGATCCAATTGGATTAGTTTTTATTTTATTTTATTAAGTCGAGAGAATATTTGTTTTGGCTCGTCGTTGACTTTAATGTCAGTAAATCACTAAAATCATTTATTTAATTTTTTGTACAATTTTTATATTTTTTTTT